CTCTAATTTAAGCATAACAATGAAGTCTAAAATAACCGCCTATTATTTATTGTCTCTGATTACATGCACATCTTGTATAGAATTACACGTGGAAGGCACACAACATTTGAATGTGTTTGTATTAGCACACTATCAACAGCAGAATCGATATGAACTGATGTTATCAAGCTATTTATGTAATGAGTTAATGGAACGACTGAATTAGATGTTTAAATAAAAGCGACACAACCCTTTCTACACCCGCAGGAAATCTCTGCTAAAGGCAGGGTCGATTGTACAATTTCTACTGCTGTACGTGTTTTTTGTTTAATGTAACTCCTTACTCAGCAATAACACAACTGTTTCAGGGCGGTCTGTAAATAATCGAGTCTGGGCCAGACCATTCAGTGATTAAAAGCATGAGATTCGATGATAGAGCACGTGTTTCTGAATCAATCTCGAATAGTAGTGCCGCCAGGTGTTTGAGAAAAGACATCGAGTTTTAGATACCTTACGATGTGTCAATGTTATGAAAGCGTTTTGCCCGCAGCAACACACACTCACACCTGATAACACCGTCGACGAAATTATAACTGACTTGATTTTGCGTCAGCAAATGGAACTATTTGTATGTACTTATGTAGATTGTTTAAAGTGAGTGAGTATGGTTTTACGCCGCTTTTAGCAATATTCCAGCAATATCACGGCGGGGGACACCAGAAATGGGCTTCACTCATTGTACCCATGTGGGGATTCGAACCCAAGTCTTCGGCGTGACGAGCCAACGCTTTAACCACTAGACTACCCCACCGCCCAAACGCTGCACGAACATTGCAGTGAGTGAGTGCGGTTTTACGCCACTTTTAGCAATATTCCAGCAATATCACGGCGGGAGACACCAGAAATGGGCTTCACACATTGTACCCATGTGGGGATCGAACCACAGGCCCTCGTGTCTTTGCGAAGATTAACGATTAAAATTTTTTTATTTTTTAGATGACCCCCGACTCGAAATGCTACACAGTACAATACATTATGTCATAATGTATTTCCATCTCAAATGTTTTATGTTTTTTTAACATCTTTAATCCTCGCAAAGACACGAGGGCCTGTGAATCGAACCCGAGTCTTCAGCGTGACGAGCGAACGTTTTAACCATTAGGTTACATACATACATACATACATACATACATACATACATACATACATACATACATACATACATACATACATACATACATACATACATACATACATACATACATACATACATACATACATACATACATACATACATACATACATACATACATACATACATACATTTGTATAGCGCCGATATCCAGCTCAGCTCAAAGGCGCTTTGTTTTTCCCTCGTTCACTGGATGTCAATATCAACGGCACATCGTATTGTCAATCTCAACTCCGTGGGCAGCATACAACTCTTGAAACCACTAGGCGCACCGAGTTAATGGGGCATTCCATCCTTACGAGGTACCCATTCACAGCTGGGTGGACTGGGACACATAGACACAGTACTTTGTCCAAGTTTACTGCACGTTGCTGTACCCGCAACTGGATGTTTGCACGTATTCATGTGGCCACCATCTGGTCATATACCAACGGATTCGTGGGTTCTTTTAAGTGCACAGGGTTGTGTACTGTACACTAGGGTTGGTTACCCCACTGCCATGACATTGCAAAGAAATGCTGACAGTAAGGGCGCGATATTCACGAAACATTTCACAAAAGAATATCCAAAGTAGAGAAACCCCATTCCTATGCTTTGTCTCTGTGATTGTAATGAGGGGGGACGTTATGTTTAATTCTTTCGTCAGTTCAAAACGACCAAGAATGGTTGAAGAAGAATGTGGAAAATGAATGAGTTTGAAATTTTATCGGGACAGGAGTCTTTAAGGCGCAGGGATTTGCTGTGCTGAGTTGTGTCCTTTTAGGTCCTTCAGCACGAGTGAGTGAGTGACTTTGGTTTTAAGCCACTTTTAGCAATATTCCAGCAATATCACGGCGGAGGACACCAGAAATGGGCTTCACATATTGTTCCAATGTGGGGAATCGAACCCGGGTCTTCGACCTAACGAGAGAACGTCTTAACCACTAAGATACCCGTCCTCATCAGTACGAAGATCCATGTACCTTTCAATAATGAGTAAACATTTTTAGACTTCATTTTCTCTAAGTCAGACTGACACGCTGTGATATAACTGTTACTGTTAATTTAAGCCAACCTTCTTACCTTATACGACCGCCTCCGTGGTGTAGTGGTTTGAGCGTCCGCCCGGAGAGCGGAAGGTCACGAGTTCGATCACCGGTCGCGTCATACCAAAAGACGTTAAAATATGATACTTGTTGGTCCCTGCCTGGCGCTAGGCATTAATGGGTACAACAAGGACTGGTCGGCTAGGAGTCAGCATAACGTGTCTGAGTGGGGTATTCATGCTTCACTGCGGCATGGTATCTCAGTAGGCTAGCACTATAAAACGAGCTTACACAACCAGCCACACATACACACGCATGCACGTCGTCATATGAGCGAAATATAATATATAAGTACGATGTTTAACCCAATTTCACCTCACCTTATACGTTCCAAATGGAGCACCCTTTTGCCAAGTGAACGCAGGCAGGAATGCATGCACACGCTATCACTAATCGTTGGATTAGAATGAGACTCGAGCAACTGTCAACAGATTACAATACGTGCGACACCTGGACAAAATATGACATGATATGATAGCAGACAGGCAGAACTGTAGCTGCGCAAATAGTGTTGCGCAACAGAGAGAATTTAACAAAGTGTGTGTTCATTAGTTGGTAGGTAGTAGGAGGGACGTGTACAATATTTACGAGGACTCGCGACAGCTTTGGATGTTCTATCCGCAGGCAAACTGTAGCGCAAATAGGGTTGCGCAACAGAGAATTTAACAAAGTGTGTGTTCATTAGTTGGTAGGTAGTAGGAGGGACGTGTACAATATTTACGAGGACTCGCGACAGCTTTGGATGTTCTATCCGCAGGCAAACTGTAGCGCAAATAGGGTTGCGCAACAAAGAGAAAATGACCAGTCTTTCCATATGCGAGCGAAAATAAATTATCGCCACTATCAAAGGTAGACACCCATTTCAAGATCCGGATTAGAATTGGTCTTCGGTAACCCATGCTTGTCGTAAGAGGCGACTCATGGGATCGGGTGGTCAGGATCGCTGACTTGGTTGACACAAGTCGTCGTATCCCAATTGCGTAGATCGATGCTCATGCTGTCTGGTCCAGATTCGATTATTAACAGTCCGCCACCATACAGCTGGAATATTGCTGAGTGCGGCATATCACCTTTTGACTGCCACTTTATATTGTGCTGAGATACCTTTGTGGTGATGTTTACTGATTTATGAGTGAGTGAGTGAGTTAAAATTTAAAGTCACTTTGGCAATATTTCAGCCATATCGTGACTAAAACAACATAGATATTAACAAGATAGAGAATAAAATCCTGTCAACGAAGGACAGTAAAAAAGTCCTAGAATATCACAGATATAAATGTAAAACTAGTAATTAAATCTAAAACATTTTAACTATAGAGGACAACACAATATAAAAATAGGCTATAGATCACCAACAACTGAAGGTACTCCACCATACTAGGGACCATGGGGACTTACAGTACCTTTGCTACCTGCATGGACCTACTGATTTATGAACTCCGGGTCATTTTTAGAATACAGTTGTTAATGACAACACATTTCTGTGTTGTTTGTTGATTTTACAAAAGGTTCTTTAACACATGTATTCCCGGTTAACCTATTAGTTTCAATTAGGGACCCACTACGTGACAAGAACATTTACGGTAACAGTCTCTGACACAAAGGTCCATTATAAATAATGGATCAACGACAAATCGATATTTTAAAAATTGACGCGCTATATCTATCTATCTATCTATCTATCTATATATTGTAAGGGATAACAATCAAGGCGGCCGACCGGCCTATATATATCTATCTATCTATCTATCTATCTATCTATCTATCTATCTATCTATATACGCACAAAATGTCCAAAATAGTACAGGTGTTCAGTCATAAATATCACATAGATAAATAAAAACAGAATGCCTTTTTCTCCAACATGTTTCGTTCTTTACTCTCTCTCTATATATATTGTCTGCAGCTATAAGATTACTACAGGAAAGGAAGCCGACCAAACTTGTCCTTTATAAATCTTTCCAGACAGCCCTTTAGACCTTACTTAATGCTGTGTAAATGCAGGCAGAACAATAGGCCATGAAAGCCTCATTAACGCTTTGGACGTCACATGACCCCCGGTGTATGCACATGCGTTGTTTCATGTTCAAAATAAACATACTTTAAAGGCACAATGGCACACAATTTCGACAATATGTTGGCCTATATTATATATATTGGGGCATATGCACTCACATTAGCTTCCTATTGATGCAATAAATGACTTATTATTCCTTACAACTTGCCTGAAATCGATAATTGATACTTCGAGGTGAACAGCTTCCAAACAGAGAACACTTGCCATATATGGAAGGTAAACAATTGCACCATACATCGAAAACTGTCGCACGTGGTGTTGTCGGTGTTTGCCGAACTGGTTTGAGTCACAAGTTGTGCATAGGATATTCATAAAGAGCGCTCCAAGGGACATATCTCGGTGAGGTTCGCGTGAAATAATGTTCGGCCGGTAGAGGGCGTGATAGTCGATTTGCTGCAACTTGGCACTAATTCATTAGAACTTTGTAATTTAATTTTGTAATCTAAATACGTATCTTTTTGGAGAATAAATTATATGGTTGCTTCCCTGATCATGAGGGTTGAGGGTTAGTATTAATGAGAGAAATGTATGTTTTTTTAGATAAGTGTGGTGTGACAATGTGCCTTTACAAATCGAAATGTTGAAACTGCAGATATTCTTAGACATGTCAGTCACCAAACAGAACTAATGTTACAGAGTTACATACAAGCAACAATAACTTACTTACGTGAGCATGAATTTTCTCCTCGGCAAGTGTATCTCCTTTCCTGTACCAAAGCGTAGTTTTTACGCATGTACACGGGACGTATGTAGATGTGACAAGGATAATGTTCTCACTGCGTGAGTAAAATACGGTTCCAGGGACACTCCATTAATACGTACTACTTCCAAGGTCAACTTACAGCTGGCGTGCCTTATCTTCTGAATGTATGGGCTATTATCATTTCCAGTCATGCGCTTTAGCAAGACTCACAATATTTGTCCTGCACTTACTTTTTTCAACGTGTGTCGAATGTATATCCTCGACAATACATTGTGTTTAATGCCGATCACAGCGTATGGCATTTAAAACAGGGTTTACGGCAATTAAAGATTTATCATGACATTCCAGGCAATATAGAAAGCTTGGTGTTGGGTACCACAGTGTATGTGTGTTGATGCAAGGTCCCTTGCAGAAGGATACAAGTCATAGATATGACGAAGATAGACATGCTATTATCTGACTAAATAAATCGATTTTTTTCAGTTTCTCAGCAAAAATCACACTTCACGTGATTAAGGTTTTTGCTATTCGAAATATTTTCCAATATCAATTATTCAGATTTAAGTATTGATTACGAGTAATTGAGAACAGTATGCAATCCACCCAACCTCGAACCCAAACTCCCGTGCGTAAGCACATACATAGACGCACCATTTAGAACAAAACATATCTGTGCTTGTGGATTTGCACTCTGGATATTATACATTTTGTGTTTGAAATGATAAACATCAAACATCAAGAAACATATAAAGACTCATTATTAACACACATATAGTTAATCCACAGCTACAAAAACATTAATATCTTACCTTACTTGAGCAGGATAAACAGAGGTGTGACATTCATTACAACAAAACAGGTGGATTGCAGCGCGGCAGAAATGGATTACATTAACAGCTCCTGCAATAAAGGGGGCGGTGGGGTAGCCTAGTGGTTAAAGCGTTCGCTCGTAACGACGAAGGCCCGGGTTCGATTTCCCACATGGGTACAATGTGTGAAGCCCATTTCTGGTGTACCCCGCCGTGATATTGCTGGGATATTGCTAAAAGGGGCGTAAAACCATAATTACAGCCTCCAGCAATAGCCCTCGCTGTAACACAAATCTGTGTGTACTGTTAAAACGATGAATGCATAGTCTGTTATACAGGCCCTGAAACAAATACGTGAGTTTTGTGCCAATGTGGTCATGAAATAGATATGAAACTGTTCGCTTTTGTGATTGTATATGTATGTTATGCCATCTATGAATGTTAATAAATGAAAACAAGTATGTATTGTTAGTATTTTTTTATTTCTGTGAATATTTTTACATACGATGAAGATAACTAGATCTACCATTTCTGATATGCATGCAACAGTATGACGATCATGACATTTAGTAAACATTGATATTTTCACACAAATACATTAATCCGACATTTTCATTAATCCGACATTTTCGTTAATCCGACATATTTCTCTGCAACCACAAGTGTCGGATTAACGAGAGTTGACTGTATACCCAATGCAGTCCATGCAAGTCGAGTATGTGTGACAGGTCTTAATTACCACAGTTCTAAATTATGTACATTTCAAAGACTAGGCGTTAGTGTAATGAATACAAACCGGGCCGGGATATCTTCCTGCTGACTAAGGTCGGTATGTGGGTCGATGCGGTGAGTCAGTGTGGATAGGATATATTTCTATCTGCAGAAAGGCGATATGCAGTTTTTAGCACAATACATTCAGGGGCGGATGCAGGATTTTGGAGAGGAGGGGATGCACATGTATCATAAAGTCCCAACCCACCCACCCCACCCCTCTTGATCCGACCCTGACATTTATAAGATATTTTATAATTCCACGTCATGGTTTTTGCAGTGTACCTGTGGAACAACATATGATTTACACTTCACGGTGCGTTAAGCAGAGCAATAACATGTCTCTAGTGGCCAGTTGTAATCTCAGCTACTAGTATTGGCGATAGTACTATTCTGTCTACCTATGAACTGCTGTGAAATAACCAATGTAAGGTGTGTTTGCGGCAAAGGCATATTTTCGCCTACATCTGGTACCTGTTAAAGACACACTCTGTGGTAATCAGTCAATTTATACTGCATAGATGACTTTCATCTTAAATAGCCACTACAAATGCAACAAGAAATAAACAAACACACACAAAAATAAATAGATAGATGACTGAATGAATAAATAGATGAATGAATGAATGAATGAATGAATGAAATAACAAACATAAAAAATCACACACCATATAAAGGCCACACAGCGTGCAAGTTGAATATTCGATCTATCAACAGTTGTCTAATGTGGGAGAAATTCGTATAGGTACGTATGGTCTTGAAAAACCAATAAGCTTATCCATGGCATGTTTCGATCCACACATACAGGATCGTGCCATGTTATACAAAGTGCTAAGTCTCGGAAAATAGGAAACATTGACAGTAAGAGAAAGCTCCATTTATAATGAACTAGCCCCAGTGATCTCGGGGATTAAGAATCTGTGGGAGACTAGACTCGCTTCATTTTTCACGTTTGTATTGCAGAAAGGGTCGGGTGGAAAGTTTGGACTATGAGACAGACTACTGGCATGTTAAGTTCCCAGCGATGCAGATCGAATGTGATTCGTACCAGGAGAAAAAGGCATTTTTAAAAACCTCCTAGCAATATTAGTATTCCTATTTTGAATGAAAATATATATTCACTCTGTCAGGCGAATGCTATCATTTAAAGACAAAATTACCAGTTAGATGTCAGACACGTCCATGGGCCAAAGTGAAATCCTAACAATACCAGCAGTCCATCACTTGTTCATGTAGCTTCAGTGTCTTAATAAGGCCACATAACAAACAAGTATTCTTGTTTGTTTCTCATCACTTTTAAAAAAAATAATATGGGTCGGGCGGATTTTATTTTTACATTTTATCTATCTTATGTCCAAAACCCCTTGATTTTTGTAAAAATGTTCACCTTTTCTCCGATAGAAAATCAAAAATAGAAGTGTAAAAAAATCATGCACATTGTGAAAGTCAAAGTTGCATTTTCTCAAGTGTAAATATTTTTTATTAAATCTTAGGGTCAGGTCGAATTTTTGGGAGGGGCGGTAATGAGAAATAAGAATATATTTATATATGGCCTTAGTTATTGCGCTGGATTCTGGTCAATGAGTCTTTTGCAGGAAACGTAGATCTAGGCAAGCTTCCCTTCATTGAACACACATTGTGCTGATCACAGCTGGTGACATGGGTGTCGTTGTAAAAACCAACCTTTACCAAGGTTGATCACAGTGGCTAAGGTTATGTTTAAAATACCACTGACACTAAGTTGTTACAGGGAATGATGGAGTATAAATAAATCTCGTGGGTCTTTCTTCCTTCTTCAGCCTAGCTTTGGGATTTTCATACCCCATGTGTGCATGTCTCTTTCATATGCGTCCGACTCGGAATGATCGGAGCATTTCTCCTGCCTAAATCTGTCTCTTTACTTGGAAAACGGACGAAATGGTGTCTCTTTCCATAGTTCGATGACTCCGTCCATCCCCAGGCAACGGAATACACCATCGTACCATTTACAAAACGACAGAAACAACACGATTTGTATGACTGTAGCGCTTGTTCTTTGGCAATATGGCGGACGCTTGCAACATATGACGTCACGAGCGGAAAGGTCACGTGGGTTCCAGCGGAATATGCATATTGGCCGAAGCTCAGATAACAGAAACTGTTTTCGCGATAAAACATAATAAACCATAATTTTTATATAAAAATTGGGGTACATGTTTCTGATGGCTTTATCTTTCACCGAGCAAATTATTGCAATTGTCAAGTATTCTCCTTTAAGGCAACCTTAACAAAAAGTCACGCCCGTTGCACAAAGCTACCTTTGGCAAATCTTACTTTGGAAGGATACCTAGTGGCAACATGAACGCCTGGATGCCGGGGTGTTTGTTCGGACGCACTTTCCATAAGCCCTGAAAAGTGAACGTGGTGCGAGAATAGCACTCGCGCGACCCTGGATCTACCGGGAGCTATAAAATGACACAGAAATGCAGGCTATGAAATTGCCTATCCGATGGTATAAATTAAAGTGCAAAAACTTAGGTGGCTTGAAAAATAGACACTGCTAAGTGTTTTTCGAAATGATGCTATGCGATAAAAAACTCAATAAATTTCACCGCTTTTTATCGTACACCCATAAAAACACTGTGCGAGGATTATCTAAATTTGGCATCTTTTCGGTAGCGTGAGCGAACACGACATATTGCCTGATATCTGAACGACATATGTGTATAAAATGGATATGTGAACATATGTATAACGTTGTAGATTCAATATTAAAAATGGCTTGCCAATAAATGACGAACATTGATTTTCCTCTTCGGTGTCAAATGGCGACAGGGAGATCACACACGGATAAAGTCGATGTAGCATAATTCCACAATTTACACAAGGTCACTGTAACTCACGTCACATGGATGCGGACATTATATTTTCGTGAGGTTTCGTTCAGATGAACAAAACTTTCCCAGTACGCAGATACACATTGTAATCGGATAGTATCACAAATTACAAGAAATGGTGAACTCATACGTCATGAGTGAGTGAGTAAGTATGGTTTTACGCCGCTTTTAGCAATATTCCAACAATATCACGGCGGGTACACCAGAAATGGGCTTCACATATTGTTCCCATGTGGGGAATCGGACTCGGGTCTTCGGCGTGAAGAGCCAACGCTTTAACCATTAGGTTACCCCACTGCCCCCATACGTCATGAGACCCTAGGTAATAGCCAAATGGATGGCCCCCATACGTCATGAGACCCTAGGTAATAGCCATATGGATGGCCCCCATACGTCATGAGACCCTAGGTAATAGCCAAATGGATGGCCCCCATACGTCATGAGACCCTAGGTAATAGCCAAATGGATGGCCCCCATACGTCATGAGACCCTAGGTAATAGCCAAATGGATGGCCCCAATACGTCATGAGACCCTAGGTAATAGCCAAATGGACGGCCCCCATACGTCATGAGACCCTAGGTAATAGCCAAATGGACGGCCCCATCCAGTATGTAACTTAGTTCTTATTCTCCTCTGTGTGTAGATGTATTATGTCTAATTTTCAACAGAGTACTAGCCATATCTTGTAGTAATTTAACGAAGGAATTGAAATAGACAAATGTAGTTGACTCCATTGCTTGTTTTATGAACATGTATTTTGCAACTTACAATATTTCCGTTCAGAGTATAAAAAGCTCGGTATGTCAGTCAGAATTTGACGCTCTTTTGACAGAACATGAATTGACTGATTACCATTTAATGAATGTTCTGTATGGATAAACATTTAGATAGCTTGACCTTGTATCTTAATGTGGACAGCACGCGCACCTATTTGACATGAGTCCAACTTAAAAAGAGTATTTCAAAACACGTGAGTTTTTTAATTGTGAGTATTTTCAGGATAGAACCTTTCTTTGTTCATTATTATGTTGCTATTCTTCTTCATAATGAAAACAATTCCTCCTTTTGTACGACCCTATGAGAAAACACTGTACGGTTTGACCGAAGGAGGACATACATGTAGACACTTCTTGTAGAATTAAAGTTAGCAGTTTAATATTCTGTCATTACAATATACTATTTGTTTAAATATTAATTGATTATATTTATAAAACAAGAAAAGGTAAAAAGGTATTGAGTATATGCATGCAACGAATAGACAAATGGATATCTGAAAGCTTAAGAAAATGTTACACACTGTAGAAATGTTGGCCATTTTTTACATTCACAACTAGCACAGCGTTCGTTTTCACACCCAATGTGTTTCCTTTGATTTCATCTGAACATTTGGTTTTGGTGACAAAGAATAATTATTATTTGATTGTCTAAAATGTATGAGGTATTCAGTGATGTAAATGTAGCAGCTGAGTGTGAAATATACGTGATGTAATGGGCGTCTCATGACCGACCTTGGTGAAACGTGATTTTCAAAACACTATCCAATATGGCAGAAAACTGATTTCGGCGTCAGTGTTCGTGTATTTCCAAAACATCCCAAACGATTGTAGGTTTATCGGCGACGTTTCAGAATTATGCTTGGTTATTTGATGAACGACTGATACATGTGATCCTCAATATATCCTATCTACCAGTTTCCTCACACATCACCAAGAATGTAGCCATGTTGAAATTACTGGGAGCGTCAATCTCAGTTAAAACAAAATGCGATAAATTTTACCGTTTCTCTTATTTGCTGGCATACATGTATTTCTAATACAGACTATATAGCCTTAATTCCCATTGTTTTAAAGATTAGTACGGTCCAGTGATTCTAATCCCCAAACAATACCTGCAGGCAAGAAGAGAACATCGGGTCAGGCCAACCTGACATTTTCACCTTAACTAAGGCTACCTTAGCGTAAGGTAGATTTGTGCAACGGGACGTCAACCTTCGCCAAAGACTATGGTTAAAACGTATGGCGATAAGGAGATACTGGCCAAGGTTGTTGTGTACAACGGCACCCAGATAGTCTCTGTATGAACAATGCAGTTGACGACAGCCGGCTTTGTATGGTTCATCTGGGCGAGGTCTGTCAATATTTATACACGAATACAATTCAATGTAATCCCATATCAAATAAATGCATCTTACACGTCTGTCGATGTCTGTACCAACTTCTGTGCGTGTATTGAATAGCTGGTAGTGATTGTATGTAAATTGACAATTTCTTCCGTGAGGTACGACTTATGCAGAGACCAGTTGATATTGGCGACATACATTGTGTTGTCTATAATAGCATTGGGAATTAATTACCGACAATCCATATCATGAGACTGACCATGTATATATTCATAACCATTTACGCAGTTTCCCAAATATATTGGTCACGTAAAACATGTGGGCCAGAGTTGTTCTTCAGCTACCCGTGTTGTCATAAGAGGGAGCTTGCGTGTGATCATTTACTTGTTTGATGCCTGTGATCGTACCCGACTTGCAGAGATTGAGGCTCATAATGTCTTATCTTGCCTCACACATTGTCTTATCTTGCCTCACACATAAATGTCGTTTTCTGATTGGCTGAGCCACCAGGGGTTCGAATCACTGTTTGGACAATAATTTGTAAAAATACAAATCTAGATTTTTGCAACCGTATATTGTGTGTATATGTTATGAGTAACTTATATTTCAAATTTGAACGCAATCGGTGAAGAAATGGATTTTTGTAGAAAATTCTCCCGCTACACTCATTACATAACATACACAAGGGGTGACACTCGCGATGCTAAAAGCCTGATCGAAAAACGGACAGCCCGACTATTGTAACCTGCGTTCAATCAAACCTTACGTTTTTCACAAAACAATGTGTTGAGCTCGTAGATTATTCTTTTGGCCTTCTGCTCATCGTATTCAGTTTTGTGTTCCGAATCATTCCGAGATTTTCGGACAGGGTCGATGTTTACCGAAGGGCGGCCAGACGTTTGTTCAAAACGGAGGGTAGTGCTAATGCGAGGGTCAGTGGTCAAATATGAAATGCAGTTACACAAACTGAATACAATGAGCAGAAGGCCAAAAGAATAATCTACAAGCTCAACACATTGTTTTGTGAAAATGTAAGGTTTGATTGAACGCACGTTAAAATAGTCGGGCTGTCTTCACCGATTGCGTTCAAATGTGAAGTATAAGTTACTCATAATATATTCAAACGACATACGGTTGAAAAAATCTAGATTTTTAATTTTTAAAATTATTGTCCAAACAGTGATTCGAACCCCTGTGGGCTGAGCGCGCTTCTATTATTTTCAGTGTGCCCCGCTTACAAGCGAGTAACATTTTCATGTACCCTGCTGGGAATGCCGAACTCATTTTGTACTTCGAAGTAGTAATTCTTTATCTCGAATACCATTGAATCACGTATGATGTACGGAAATTACCGACGTTTTGCGAATGCAAATCGATGGAAGGGAGATAACTCTAAAATTGTTTTTCTTGTCGTCTGGTACTCCATACTACGATCAAATACCCGCGCTTCAAACAGTTCAAAATTACCATTGAGGTGTTCGATTAGATAAATACGTTGTTCACTGGTCCCTCCGGGCCCATGGGTTGAAGTAACCTCGATGTTTCTTTATGTTCCCTGAGCCCGAAGGGCGAGGGGAACATAAACATCGAGGGTACATCAGCCCATGTCCCAATCGAGACCAGTGAAAAACTTATAATGTACCACATTATGGGTAAGTCTTGTGTGAATATCATTGAAGATATTGCTAAACCGGAGGCGTGCATAGAGCACAAGCCATAAGCAATATAAGTATTATCTTTGAGTTGTCCACAAAACAACAAACAAAACAAGCACTTCATGCACTTTTTGCATTTAGAGCAAGACGTTTCTTTCCTAATAGTTCAAATATTCTATTCAAATATTCCTCTGTGATAAAGTTGCAAGTTTAGATTAAACTTCCCCGTGGCCGATGTGTATCCCTTAAATGGATAAAAATCCTATTAGGTGAAACTTGCATGTCCGATCTGTTGAATGTCTTCAATTTTGTTGTCGTTTCTGATTGAACAACTTTAGCCATTGGCTACAATGAATGTGGCATTCGTCACCACTCGCCCCTTTTCGTAACCTCCAAGAAGACTCGTCCCCCTATTGATGCTTGTTATGTGCGAAAATACGTCAAACCAATAAGAACACGCGTAATGGTTGCGGTGCTTTGATAAAAATAATCCCGACTACTCAAATCGTTTATGGCATAATGCTATTGTTTAGAAAATCTTCAAAAATATATATCGTCATATTGAAAGTACTAAGAACGTAGCTAACAGAATGGTGCTGTCTAATGTGAAGTTTTTTAAAAGAAACATGCGATTGACGGTGAGAGCTTCAAATACACGAACGTGCGTATGTTGACATAACGGCTCTCACAGGTCCAACTAAGTGTATTTCTGACGATCTTGTGGGCTTGTTGTGGTGACTGTACGTGCGCTTCCAACGGTTTTAAGAAGTGTATATATAAATCGCTACGAGTTTCAAAGCAATAATATTATATCTGTATGTATCTAGTCAGCTTTAACTAATCTTTAACATTGGGCATATTTTTCACATCTCGGAATATTTTAGTCTGACCTTTTTTTGGTCATTCATATATTTTTCAGCGAATTCATTTAAAATTCCACTTGGGGTATGACAGCAAGGTTACACGTGTTCAGTTTGAGAAATATTTTGAAGTCATTTTTGAGTTTCTGACTTAGGAATTAATGTAGCTGGGTTTTTATATATATATTTTTTTGCATATTCAATTAAACAAATCCCATTTTTGATTATTAAACCCATTTCAGAAATATACTGGGAAATATAAGGTGAACATCTGGTAATAATAGGTTCAGAATATGTCTTTAACTAATTATATGTTTTCTCCTTCTTTTAGTTGTACCACGGAGGTTTAATTCTTTAAAATAATTAAGCCAAAACAAAAACAGCAATACAAGGTATGAGTACTTCGGTGATATTAAGTACCATTGGAATCAAACAGGAATAGAGTTATCGTTCCTGTTTGAAGTAGTTCTGATGTTCCTACGCCAATATGAAATCCTTCCAGAGGGGCACGAGTCGCTATTCGGCTTGTCCCGGAATAACACGAGTTGGTCCCGACTGTGAATGTGGATGAGTACGGTATATGTTCACATTGCTGCGGTAACATAGAAACCAAGGGAGGTAATGTGTTCTGACCCGTCAAGTCACAGAGTTATTTCCCTTTGACCAGGGAGTAGCGTTTGGGACTGTCTCCATCATATATAAATTTGTTGAAAAGATTTACCTGTGAACATCTTTCAGATTTAAGGTTTCACTATTGATAAAGCCAATTATATGAGATAGCCAGGTGATACTTGACAAGGAAATAACAACAAAAATATTTCATGCGGACGTGTCTTTATTAAGCATCGCAAGTCGCTTAAATATCACCTTGCATGGACAATTTGAGAGGAAGGACACCTAAGTAAATACGCGTAAAACCAAGGTAGGAACCTAACCCTTGGCGATATTCCTCCCGTCACGAAACCCAACTTTACTGTGTCACCAGCAGGTAGCTTTAGACGTAAGTGTTCCATGCATTGATTACGTTTTGGTTTAAAAATAATTTTGGTTTGTCAAAACTCTCGGATTTTAACGAAAGGGTTAATTTTCTGTACAGGGGATATGCGCCAGGTTTGAATGAAGTTTTAAATGGACACTAATATAGATGAACAGGAACACTTGCACCACGACCTAATTCACATCAGTTACATAAGTACAGAGAAATATTGGTTTTAAAGTCGTGCCTCTCCCCTTTTTCGTCATTCAGCATGCAGGCAGCTACCAGAAACGGACTCGTCTGCATTTGACACCAACGCAAGTGCAAGATGTCGGGACAATGACACGATCCATCACAATTCGCTGACCATCTGGCCGGTCACCACAGAACGCCACGACGGGGACGGACTTGAACACTCGGAGACATCGGTTGGACAGCCATGATCGACTTCTAAAGGTTAGGCAATTGGTGGTCCTGAAAGATGCATTCATGATAAAGCAAGAATCTTGTTGATAACAAGGTGGGTTATCTCACTGAATATCTGTACAATCTTGGCAAAACATTTGAACAGGGGCTGTCAGGACAGACCATGTGTCATTACGAGTGAGAGTGAGGGACTTGAACCAACTATCAGTGAATCCACATTCGTCTAAGGGGCGCAACTTTGCACGCGGAGATTATTCTTGTCTTTAATGGCCCTGCTGTCATTTGGTATTTACCTTTTGACTATGCTCTACAGCGGCCTTTCACTCTCAGAATCCAATCATCATTTACGAAACGTAATGGATGTACTTCCAGTTTTAATGTTATGGTCAAAATCCTCTCCGAATATGAAACAGTCGGTTCCTAATCTCGACCGCAGAAGTACTTGGCGTAAAAGGCAACTAACAGGATATGGTGTTCAGGCTCGCTGACCCGGTTGACACATGCCATCGTGTCCTAATTGCTCATGCTGTTGATCACTGGATTGTCTTTTCCGGATTCGATTATTTACAGACCGCCGCCATATAGCTGGAATACTGCTGAGTGCGGCGTTCCAAAAAACACAAAACCCAACCCAATTGTGCAAATGGAAGCTCATGATGTTGATCACTGGATTGTCTGGTCCAGACAATACGGACCGCCACCATATAGCTGGCATACTGCCAAGTGAGGCGTTGAACAACAAACAAAGCAAACCAACCTGCAGACAGCAAAGTGGATGGTGGGTTGAATGCCAAGGATCACCCAGCACGTGTCATTGGCATCTCCTCTGTAGTTTCGTAACACCATCATGTCTGCTGGACATAGATCCTTGGTCACGTTGACCAGCCTGAAATACCGGGAAAGCTTAGTCAATATGGAAAAGCTTAGTCAATAAGGGGAAGCTTAGTCAATAAGGGGAAGCTTAGTCAATAAGGGAAAGCTTAATCAATAAGGGAAAGCTTACTCAATGAGGGAAAGCTTACTCAATAAGGGAAAGCTTACTCAATATGGGAAAGCTTACTCAATATGGGAAAGCTTAATCAATAAGGGAAAGCTTAGTCAATAAGGGAAAGCTTAATCAATAAGGGAAAGCTTACTCAATAAGGGAAAGCTTACTCAATAAGGGAAAGCTTACTCAATATGGGAAAGCTTACTCAATATGGGAAAGCTTAATCAATAAGGGAAAGCTTAGTCAATATGGGAAAGCTTACTCAATAAGGGAAAGCTTACTCAATATGGGAAAGCTTAGTCAATATGGGAAAGCTTAATCAATAAGGGAAAGCTTAGTCAATATGGGAAAGCTTACTTGATAAGGGAAAGCTTACTCAATAAGGGAAAGTTGAGTCAATAAGGGAAAGCTTACATTCAATTGGAACACCAGCTATCATCAACCTAATTCTAGCTGACAAGCGTACTGGCAAGACATTCAAACATTTCTAGTCTTTGCTATGTATTCAGTGAATGAATGTGTTTACTGCCACGTTGAATAGTATCAAATTATGTCAGGGACTGTCGTTTCGATGTGATGTACCCTTTGACGTGTACACTTTGGTGACGACAATGCTTGCGTGAGTTTAGTTTTATGCCGCTTTTAGCAATATTCCATCAATATCACGGCAGGGGACATCATAAATGGGCTTCACACATTGTACCCAAACTCGGGGCTTTAGCATAACGAGCGAACGCTTTAAGCACCAGGCTAGCCCATTGCCCCAACAGGCGCTCTATCCACTATCCACTTAACCACAGTCATTTAATCTGGAAGTAAATATGGTAAATATTTGTCGAGACCTAACTGTTCGACACAACAGCTGATTTCACCCAGCCGAGTTCGAGACAACTGGGTTCGATCGTATTTTTATAAAAAATATACTTACATAGGATCCTCTGGAATTTTAGGGTCAGTTGATGACGTGTTGAATAAATTCAGGCATCCAGTTAGGTTCGCAGTTTTGGTTTCGTTGTTGATAGCTTCCCTGTATAAAATAGCAATATAACAATGAGGAATGAGTGAATATTTAACGTCACATCAGCAATATATCAGCCATATCGTGACGAAAACCATTTATACAATAATAAACTGATAAATGTAGACTATAAACACCTGTCGACAAAGGGCAGAAAAAACAACTAGAGTAGCTTAGATAAATATCTAAAACTAGCAGGTAACCCTAAAAGTATTTAAACTTATTTTTCTATTGAAGAAGATGCAATATAAAAATGGGCTATAGAGCGCCAGCAACTGAAGGCAGAACAATATACCAAGACCACGGGCAATTGCCATTGTTACCCGCACAGACCCCATCCTTTCAGGTGTTGGAAATTTTTGACAAAATTGTGACATTAGTAGAATATACATATTCTATGATGAAAACGCCGGTAGACATACGTGCCCTCCCAGGGCACATTATCTATACTATTACAACTATAGATGATGACTTGTAACACTGATCCCTTGTGATGAACATCTGTAACACTGAAGAAATATAATGTCTTGAACTAAGAGGATTCAACCACATTATTCAATTTACAAGGTTGAAATTAAGTGAAAACATGTATTGCCGAACGAGGATTCACAATGCAGTGGCGAAAGGTAATGGAGCTAGTGCACCATGGCTATCTCAACTCACGGGACTATGAAGCCCTCCGGAAATATTAGGTTCCAGGGTCCCGTTCCACAAAACGTTCTTTAAGCTAAGGTGATCGTAACTCCCAAACATGTACTTTAACGGAGGCTTACGAGGCTTAGCGCTAAGACCACTATATGGAACAGGCCCTTGGGTCTTGGAACTGTAGTGAGGTCTGAAAAAACATTATTTTCGGGGGCCTAAGCACGGTGATGAAGCCCGCAGAAAGTCGGAAGGAAGTCGCAGATTCAATAGCCTTAGTGATGTAATGATGTCTGAAGGAACATTATTTTCGGGGGCCTTAGCACGGTGATGAAGCCCGCAGGAAGTCTCAGATTCAATAGCCTTAGTGATGTAATGAGGTCTGAAGGAACATTATTTTCGGGGGCCTAAGCACGGTGATGAAGCCCGCAGAAAGTCTCAGATTCAATAGCCTTATTGATGTAATGAGGTCTGAAGGAACATTATTTCCGAGACCTAAGCACCGTGATGGTACCCTCAAACACTCTCAGATTTCATGGCCTGAGCAGAGTAATGAGGTCTAAAGGAACATTATTTTCCGGGGCCTAAGCACTGTGATGCAACCTGCTAGAGGCCTCAGGTTCCATGGGCTTAGCACTACATAATGAGGTCTGAATGAACATTATTATCGAGACAAAAGCAGAGCAATCAAATATTTAAAAGGAAATCTCACCTAAAAACGCTTATGCAAAATAATGGCGTCTGCAGAAAACATCATGTTCAACGGCCAACGCACCGTAATGAAAGACTGCAGTAGTTCTTAGATGCTAGGACATGTTCAATATAATGGAATCAGCAGGATATTTCACGGGCCAACATACTGTAATTAGGCCTGTAAGGAACCTCATGTTCCCCGCCCGATGAACGGTAAAGTAACAGGACCTGTGCAGTGGACTCGAGCCTGCCGAAAATTGACAGGCACCAGGACCTTTGCAAAGGGCGGAATTTAAACTACAATCTGAGGGTCGATGCCCGGAACCGCATTCTGATGACCTTCTTAGTCAAGTAGGTCAAATCTCAAGTAGGTCATAGACAATGCAATGGTTTATATCTTTAGCTTTGAGAATGGGATAGCTTTTGAAACTCGTAAATATAACACATAGAATTTAGTCTCCGAATTAGTCTCACTGTCACCAGTTACAGTGAGGCAGAAAATGACAGGGTTTTATCCTTGGTTATAAGACTGACTTAATTTATCAAAGTCGGAAATGACAAATATTGTGAGGAAGCCCCTAAATTCACACCATTGTCATTAGATTCAGTGAGATGGATAAAACAGGTGCCCTTACGCAGGGTATCCAGTGGCGTTGCTGGACAACATGAATGGCTGTGAGAAGTCAGTTTGTTGAGGGCAGTTTGCGACGAATTTCCAGATGAAGCGTTTGTCTCTCACGTTGGGCTCTTCTGAGTCATCGTCAATGTCGACATCATCAATGTCATAGGACACAGCAGCAGGGATGATCAAGACGACCAGAAGTAGAACCTGAAGTACAAGTTAATCAACATCACATGTACAAGGTTCTTAATGGTTATGTTGGAATGGTTATGGCATCACCAACCCGACCTGTGAAGATCCCGGTTAAAACCGGCCGTCAGTAGCCCTTGCTTGTCGTAAGAGGCAACTAACGGGTGGTCAGGCTCGCTGACTTGGTTGACACGTGTCATTGTATCCCAAATGCGTAGATTGATGTTCATAATGCTAATTACTGGATTGACTGGTCCAGACTTGATTATTTACAGACCGCGGCCATATTGCTGGAATATTGCTGAGTGCGGCGTAAAACTAAACTTACTCACTCGATCAAATCCTTGAATGGCATTTTAGAAGATGAAATGAACATCACTGACCCGGAAACAATTTTTGTAAGAGTGTGGCACACTTGGCCATGTTCTATAAACTCTTAATACATCGTTCATCCTAATAGTATGAATCTATACGGTACGTACGGGTTGGTGAATGAAGTTGTGAAATTAAAGGAGCAGCAATTGGCTGTATCGTTTTGCACAGTCGTATATGTTCGTGAATCACCTTGAAATTGAGCATTGAAGGGAATATCAACCGGTTGTATCAAATTGCCGTTCTATCAACTTTTAATTGATTGTGCATCGTACGAATCTATATCGTATTTCTGCGTTTGTGAATGACCTAGAAATTGAGCATTTAAAGAAATATCAAATGGGCATTCCAGAAAATTTCAATTCATTGTGCATCATACAAATCTATCTCGTTCGTCTAGATCTGTGTTTGTGAATGACCTAGAAATTGAGAATTTAAAGGAATAGCAACTGGATGTATAATATTGGGCAAAGGAATGTGTTTGTGAATCACTGTTGAATTGTGAAATGATATGAGTATCAATCCGCTGATGCAATTTCATTGCACTGGCAGTGCAATAATCCGCCTGCATTTTTGCGATTACGACCAATTGTCTGCTGGCACCACAAACGTGATTATACCTTTAACAAAACATTTATGACTTTGGTCATTGTGGGCTTCAATATTCAAACTACATACGAGACATGATGCAACTGGAATGCTCTTCACAAACTCTCACCCACTCACCCTGCTACTAATATTAAACACCAATAACATGTCGACCCGTGACGATCCGGGGTAGAATAGGTCTTCAGCAACCCATGCTTGCCACAAAAGGTGACTATACCTGTCGAAAGAGGAGACTCACGGGATCGGGTGGTCAGGCATGCTGACTTGGTTGACACATGTCATCTGTTCCCAATTGCGCAGATCGATGCTCATGCTGTTGAACACTGGATTGTCTGGTCCAGACTCGATTATTTACAGACCGCCGCCATATAGCTGGAATATTGTTGAGTGCGGCGTAAAACTAAACTCACTTACTCACATACCCAATAACATGTCACTCTCCAGCTCATATCTTTCACCCACCCACCAACACACCGGATCTATGCACTCTGAACATACGAAGTTGACTCCGAAGACAATATCAGGTTACCCTTTAGTTATGACTGCCAATTGCCAATTCTTCTTCATCAAAACTCGCCACGTAATACACAAGAACGCCCACTTATCGACAATTGAGAAAACAGAACTATGAACGACAGAAAAAACAGCAAGCGCCGTGTATTTAATTTTCATAGTTTACAGCTGGTCAGATTATCACATCGTCCTTGCACTGAAAGGTAGAACATAATAACGACTGGCTTGTCCGAGGTCGTATCAACAGTGTTGTGGAGAATAGTCCATATACATTGTAAGTGGTCTGCTGTTAAAGTTCAATCTGTGAAACTATATATATACACCATTAAAAATAAGTAGGGGATATTCCATTTTGCGAGCATACCACTAGCCAATGCCAATGCATATGAGAAAAAGTAATATATATCCATACAGATGAAACATTTCCAAAGGATTGAATAAATTGTCACATTTTCCCTTAATTTCTCTTCATCATCTGTTTCCTCCTTGGCTTCATCATTTGCATTTCATCAATCTTGTAAACCCAATATCCCCTACTTTTTGGGGATGGTATATATGACATGGTCATAGATTATAGTCCAGCTGCATGTCATATGAGCAGGTCATACCTTTACATTAGTCCCCGACGAGTAACTAGCTATGAATAATCTTATTATTGCGCCACTCTTGATCAAAGACTTTTTATCAACGTTGCTATAGAACTTATGCTAAATGTTCCTGAGAAAAACGTGCACGTTTTCACATTCGTTTACGGTAAAAAGCTGCTTTCATTGCATATTTCAGAATTTTTATCACTCGCTATTATTTATCAGATACGTTTGAAAACAGAATGTGTAATAAAAAACAATTAATCTTATTACCTCTGTGCTGATGAAACGTTCAGCACGAAACCATTCCTATCTGTTATCAGCTCTCAACATTATTCCAGCTGTATGACGGCGGTCTTTAAATAATCGCGTTGGACCAAACAATCAAGTGATTTTCAACATGATTACCTGGGAGGTGTCAAGGAACAGACATCTACCATTTTTGCAAACCGTGTGAGTGGCGGGTGCGTGGACATGACATGTTTATCGGGAACCCTTGGAGTCAACACTGAATTTCAGTGGTCCATTTATAAAGTTTTCCCTGCTAATTTACCTGTCAAAACGAAAAGAAGTCTTTCTTCGGATAAACGTGACAAGACGTTATTTTTTTGACATTATGGTTTTATACGTTTTGTCACACGTAAATATTTGATAAAGCTCTAGTAGAACTGAAACATTTGCAAAATCATAACTGAATTGTAAGGTCGCTTAGTTAGGCCCACTACATGACAAAGTGAGTGAGTTTAGTTTGACACCGTTTTGAGCTGCAGGTCACGTGTGGCTATCATGGCCTTTCGGATTTTAGGTAGAAAGACAAAGGTTTTGGCAAGTTCTTGGTGTGTACCGATGTGGTTAACTAAAACCAAAAATCGGAAATACTTAATGTTCTTTTTTCATTCGATGTTCGCCAGATGTACAAATGAAAATATAGTATATACAATATTATATTATATCTACATGTACATTTATCTGAAATTATTCACTTGATTGCGTCTATAATCATGTAATACCCTGTACCTTTCAAAAAGAAATAAAGTGATAAAAAACAATCTATAGGAAGATCATGTATTCTTACATGGATATCATACGAACAGCGACTCGTCAAGATCTGGGTTAGAATTGGTCTTGAGCAACCCATGCTTGTCGAAAGAGGTGAGTAACCGGATCGGATGGTCAGACTCACTGACTTGGTTGACACATGTCATCGTATCCCAATTGCGTAGATCGATGCTCACGATTGTTGATGACTGGCGTTTCTGGTTCAGACGCAATTGTTTACAGATCACAGCCTTATAGCTCTAATATTGCTGAATGCGGCGTTAAACAACAAACAAACAGGTCAAACACCAACTTCAGCAATGAGTGAGTGAGTATGGTATAGCAATATTCTAGCAACATCACGACGGAGGACACCAGAAATGGGCTTCACACATTGTACCCATGTGGGGAATGGAACCCGGGTTTTGGGGGTGACGAGCAAACGCTGTAACCACAAGGCAACCCTACCGCTCCTTCTTCAGCAACAATGTGGTTTAGTTCACTTACCTGGAGTTTCATGATGCTTGACCGCTGATGGCTCGTCATACACAGAATAGAGAAGCGGTGGTCCTTATATAGAGACCTGTTTACTTGTTTTTGTCAAGTGTTTAGTCGAGCATGCACACGGATCCTGCAAGTCAGCATGACGGGGCTAAATATACGGACAAATTCATCACGAAAAAAGAAGCACCAAAAAGGATGATTTGCCGATCCCTACTATTGCACATTTCTGTGTTTATGCCACGCTGTGCCTCACATTGAACCGGACAAAGGCAGCGCTCAATTAAGGGGTAAACAGTCAGGTTTCTGTGTAATAACCACGGGGTCTGAATAGCGTCAAGTAGAGTGTGAGAAGATGTGACATCCGTCATTGTCAAATTTAGATATGGACAGATAACATTATACGGTATGTCATAAAATTTCATGGTTCTGAAAGGAATTTTCAAGCAGTAATTTTGAACAGCAGAAATGCTGCCCCCCCCTCGGGGTGTGTGAAGAGTGCTTTAAACTTTAGTAATATACCCTTCGTATGAATTACTTGTGCACATGCACTCCACTACATGTTCACTTTAACCCGTGAAGATCCCGGTTAGGATTGGTCTTCAGGTCCATGATCATCGAAAGAGGCGACTACCGGATCGGGTGGTCAGGCTCGCTGATTTGGCTGAAAAATGTCATTGTATCCCAGTTGCGTAGATCGATTCTCATGATGTTGATCACTGGATTGTCTGGTCCAGATTCGATTACTTACTGACGACCGCCATAAAGCTGGAATATTGCTGAGTGCGGCGTTAAACAACACAGAAACATATACATTGTTCTACTGTTTACATGCCTTTGCGATATCATATTTTCTTAGACAGCACAAAAGATCATTAGGAATACAAGGTCACTTTGTTTTCAATGTGCGAGTTTCTTTTAGGATTGTTTACTAAAACGCACAATACCCAAATAAAATGCAGATTCATTCTGAACAGCATGAAAAATCCTATAATCCAATGTTATCACGTGCCACCACCGACCTGATACCAAGTTCCGGGTAGTTGAGTAAACTCGAGACACCTGGATGTGCTTAATGTACACTCCCAGTTCACAGCTTGCACGTGAAATGTGTTAAGCAATAATCATTTCAAAGGAGGGAATACATCAAAGGACATATACATTAACGAAAACTACTAAAATGTTAGATGGGGATGGAACATATTTAATGTGGTAATTTTAAATGTACCCTTAAAACATGACAACATTAAATTTGCATACGTTCTTTGTGACTGGTATGACTTATCAGCTCGTTCTGAAATACACGATTCATTCGAATTTCCATATGAATGAAAGCAACAAATATTGCTCAAAACATAAGCACCTGTACGATTCTGGATGCGTTCGAATCACCACCAAACAATGGTGGATGAGCGAGCGATTACTGCTTTAACAATCTGGCAGCTATTGACGACATCTATGTTACAATGCCACGTATATACTAACGTGGACAAAAGGGGAACACACCAGTTCCATCTATATGATAACAATCTGTGAATAATCGAAGGGCTGATCATTAATGGTGAAATCATCTCAACGTTCTTTGTCTTACCGCACATCCCTTTCGTCTCACCTGATGATGCATCGTCCCTTACAAAATATAGCCAATGTCTTTTGTTGAGTGTCACCTAACACTATGGCGCGTCTTCTTTTTCCACCCATGCTTGTCATAAGAGGCGACTAACGGAATCAGGTGGTCCGGATCACTGACTTGGTTGACACATGCCATCGTACCCCAATAGCGTAGATCGATGCTCATGTTGTTGATCACTGGGTGGTCTTGTCCAGACTCGATTATATAGACTGCCGCGATAAAGCTGGAATATTGCTGAGAGCGGCGTTAAACAACAAACCAACCACACAACCAAACCCCTTTCCACCCAATAGCCACACCTCTTTGTATTTCTGTAATTATAAGATATTTCCAGTTATCACCTACTTTTTAGGGAGTATACCATTATGCTTCTTAATATTCAGAACAGACCCTGAATTTAAAACAAGTCTTAAATGAAAGTTTGGTTTTCGATTTTTGTTCGATACATTTATACTTTTGAAAGTTCTTTCACTCTGGCAATCTGATCCATTGAAAGATGAGACATAAGATTGGAGGCACCACACCATGATATTTTTCCGGTCACCCAACGGTTATTATGATGGGGTGGGGGTAAAATCAGAGGCAATGTGTTCTTCGTGATTTTTCGAAACGAATAACGAATATAATAACGAGGAATGGGTTTTATGGGCTGACAACTTCTTTACTGCCACAGATGCGACGTTTAGGTGTAGATGACAACAACGTATGCACAAGGAGAATATACTAACGATAAAGGATATTTGGGGTTTTGTAGTTGAAGAGGTTGGTGTACAGTGTGATGGCATAGCGGATATTTGTTGTGTTTATTGATGATGGCTATGAAGACATATGGATAAGGGTAGGAACGGGTTACTGTGCATTTGCCTTGATTAGATGATGGTAAGCAGTGGGAATGGTATCTATGATCTCTGTTTATTGTAGGGTGGGGCCGTTTCATGTTGAATGCCTCCGAAACGTCGTATCTATTGCAATAAAGAAACTTGTACCACTTCATCATACCAGTTTCTAAATGCCAATTAAATAAGTTTTAAACGAATATATTTCACCTCTTTTTTGAGAGGTGACATGTTTTGGCATGGATTATTAACACAACAGTCCCCTGAACATGATTTAGAAGCAGATGATGAATAAAGTCCTAAATTTGTACCTTGTATTGCAAAACTTAAACTTTTTTCCATCACAAAAATTAATGTACGATAGTATCGATAACCCAGTTTTCATATCGATAATCATTTGTAATTGTGCCTATTGACAATATCTCCGATTATCGATCATTTTAGCCAACCCTAATACTGCATGTAACAAACATGGTGATCCTTACATTACATTGTTACAATATGTGAGTGAGTTGGCTGTAATGCGTAAAGTGACCATATTTAATTATATCCTTATATAATAAGTATTCCAGCTATATGGCAGTGGTCTGTAAATAATAGAGTCTGGATCCACGCAAACGGGATACGATGACATGTGCCGACAAAGTCAGCGACCCTGACCACCCGATCCAGTTAGTCGCCTCATACGACAAGCTCGGGTTGCTGACGACCAATTCTAACCCGGGATTTTCACGGGACGTACAATCCGTTGTAAATGATTGTAATTGGTGGCATCTTCTCAGATGGAAATGTGATTGTTAACCTACGCCCCTTCCACAGTGTCCTTGAAGGTGATAAAACTTTTACCATTACATGTTACAAGAAACCGACGTTATCTGTACTTGTCACAATAAAATCGTGCGTCATGCAACTGTGTCTGATTGTCACATGGTAAATCTCACGGACGCCTCTGCCAATCCCACTTGTGAAGGCAGGATGTCTCTACTTACAACTGTCCTTGCAGTATTGCCCTTATTTGTTGGTACGTACACAAATATTTATGTTTATTTACGGTAATGAGCATAGATAGTTCAACTGTATTATAAATATGTACACAAGAGTAGTTTTTATGGTGAAATATTCAAAACAAACAATTATACCACGTTTCGAAACTGTATTAACAATACCGCGACACGAATGCATGACATGTGAAGAATATTCCTAAAAGTGACGCTTTAGCGACTGGAATAGTGCCCGTTGCAATTCTCTATAGTGAGTGTGCGAGTGAGTTTAGTTTCATTCAGCAATATTCCAGCCATATGGCGCAATATTCCAGCCATATACCTATCTTTATTGTGAAAATGGATTTTTTATTTATCATTTTTCGTGATCAGTGGAAAGAACACTTCAATGTGGTTATTCGAACACATGAAAGCTTGTGTTGTACAAACAAGCATACGCGCAAGGACATGACTCTTTAAAGCAGAGGGGTTATTTTGACTGAGTGAGTGAGTTATAGTTTTACGCCACTTTTAGATATATTCCAACAATATCACGGCGGGGGAACACTAGAACACCAGCTTTATACATTGTGTCCATGGTAGGAATCGAACCCGGGTGTTCGGCGTGACGGGCGAAGGCTTTACCCACTAGGTTATCCGTCCGTACCGGGATATTTTAAATGGTTAACGTAAGCATTGAGGCTTGTCATAAAAACAAAATATTCATGATTTCCACTTCAGATGCTGATGTGGACCTTGCATCACCGTTAGTGTTTGATCCAATATTCTACGTCAACACTAACGCTGACCTCCACCATTTGGGCATCAACACTGAAGCCGCAGCTAAGCAACACTGGCTGTCGAAGGGGATCAGCGAGGGACGACAGGGTTGTGGTAGCTTTCACTCAAGACAATATCTTAAAAGGTAAAGCTACTTTCAATCAAGACATATTTCAAGCTAAACGAATTGTAGGGTAGCTTGGCCGTTTCAACATTTGCTCGTCATGGCTAAGTGAGCGTGAGTGAATTTAGTTTTACGCCGTTTTAGTAATATTACAGAGGGGGCGCCGGAAATGGATTTCACACATTGTACCCATTTGGGGAATCGAACTCAGGTCTTCGGCTTTACGAGCTAATGCTTTAACCACTGGGCTACCCCACCACCCCGTCATGACGAAGATACGTGTTCGATTCCTCACGCGTTCACTATGAGAGGTGTGCATCACTGGACCCATAAGGTTCTAACATTATAAAACTTGCCTCAAGCCGCACTATATAGATGGTATATTTTAATCACAGTCAACAAAAGCAATGGTATGTAATAAATGTAGAAAACACTCCATTGAAGCTTGCTGTAATTTCATTATTGCAACTTTACTTGAAAGGTTCTTGTGTATGCCATATGTGGTAACTTTAGGAGCCTTCATATTTAAGTTTATTATACTCTTAAGTATGAAAGACCGCTACTTCCAAGTTTGGGAAAAGTTATATTTTCACAGTAGTGAATGTTTCTGTCCGGTATTTTGTCACACAGCACAATAAATGGCAATGTAAACTTATAAATTTCACCAATGCATTTGGCGAGCAACTGTGGGATTCGGACTTCGGATGACGAAGAAAGCTGTCACCAATCAGCTGATGGCCACGGTATTCATTTTCAACCTCACTGAGCGCGTAAGATTGGGAGTGGCTGTGTTTTGTTGAATCCATGCTTCGCTTCGTGCGAGTTTGTAACTGTTCATGACACTTGACTTACGCGTTGGAAGTCACTGGCCCGCTAGCCCGTGGCTAGTAAAAATCCAGTCGGGCCAGTAAATCTCCACAGTCACTAGTCCGACTGGCTAGAGAATGTTTATGGCGTCATTTTGTAAATATGTCTCTCTAAGACTTGTTAAGTTATAATACACTTTTAAATCATGCAAGATTATGACCTGATTAAAATGTTCATCATGTTAGCAGTTTAATGATGAAACCCGTGTCATGCCGACAATATCTTATTCTGAGATTATTCTCATCATCTCAAATGGTGACATTTGCACGTGGCATATATCTTATATCTATCTGTAGCTTATATTTCTGTTACAATGCCAGATTTAAGTAACAAGGTCGATGCATTGTTTTGACTGTGGAAATGCGGCTAAGAATGGGTCTTCAGGAAGCCATGCTTGTCGTAAGAGGCGATTAACGGGACAGCGAGTGAGTCAGTAAGGTTTGTTTTATGCCGCTTTTAGCAATATTTAAGTAATATCACAGCAATTGACATCAGAAATGGGCTTCACACATTGTACCAATGAAGGGAATCGAACCGTGACTTCAGTGTGACGAGCAAACGCTTTAACGACTGGGCTACCCAACCGCCCCCTAACGGGTCAGGGTGGTCAGGGTCGTTGTCTTGGCTGATGCTTGTCAGTTGCATAGATCGATGCCCATGTGAGTCACTGAATTGTCTGGTTTAGATTATTTAGAGACAGTTGCATATAAATGGAATACTGGACGTTAAACGACAATATTTCTAGATATATGGCAGTCTTTACATAAACGAGGCTGGACAAGACCATCCAGTGATCAACATCATGAGCATCGATCTACCTAATTTGGATACGATGACATTTGTCAACCAAGTCAGCGAGCCTGACCACCCGATTGCCTCTTACGACAAACATGGGTTACTGAAGACCAATTCTAACCGGACCTTCATGGGTCAAACCAAACTAAACAAACTGACTTCTCTTTTAGGATTCTATCTAGAAATATTGAAGAATTGGATGGAAATATCATGAAATGATCCTATCTTATGTCTCCTGTAATCCCAGGTATTCGGACCTTACCAAGGCATATGGCACCGACTATCACCAAGCTGTCGTACACTACTTGAACCATCAAAGCGAGAAAAGGCTGGGGTATGTGGACGGAGGCTACAGCGGAAGATGGACCATATCGAACCACGACCATGACCTCTTCGTCAGTGCTTCTGGGCGGATGGGAGGAGCCATTGACAGCCTGGTATGGGACAACAAGGAGTTCATCAATGCCTGGGATCATGGCAGAGAGCTTCAGATGGCGACCAATACTCACCCATACGGGGAATGCTTCAACCCCACAGAAGCTGGAGGTAGAGATGACAGCATCGGACCAAGCACAAAGTCCAAGATTATAAGTATATCATCACACGGGAGCACCCTGAAAACAACAGTATGTATTCGGTTTGTATCGTGTAACTGCACTCGTCTTTTTATCTCTGTTTGTGCATATAAATTTTATGTTTTTGAACATTCAATCAAACGAATTTTTCAGAAGGAATCTAGTACCAGATGGTATATAACCTGTCAAATGTAAGCAAATATGTAGATCTGGATATGAAGACATGTGCACACATACACAGAGAATTTAGTTAAGCATCCCCTGACATATCTCACGATTGAATGAGTCCATATCTTAACCCTTTGGAGCATATCTGGGACATGACTGCAACAAAGGGATCCTCCTGCACATAACCTGACCCAGCTGAAAGCTGCTTTGCACGAGGAATGGCGTAGACTGCCCCTTTAGAGGATCAGGAGGCTGACATGGGGTATGAGTAGGAGTGTGTTGGCTGTCATTCATTCACATGGGGGTTACACTCGGTATTTACACTGAATCGTGTAGGAAACGTGAAATGACATTTTGAAAGTTCACATTCACCCTTAAATTCAACATTAAACATTCCAGGGCCTTACTTGTACAGACATTGATTTTATATGAAAATCAGTGTTTTTATTTTTCAAAATGAGCAATTTATAATCAACATGGTCTCAAATCATTTTGTCGGTTTTTTATGAGTCAAAGATATACGGGTCAGAAAAACTCATGTTTTTCCATCGTGGTCTCCACGACAAGTTGTATGTGGGTGTTGAAAACCTATCATTGCAAAAATACAAGGGGTGCTTAATTAACTATATATTTGTGTATATATTAAATGTAAAACAAGAAGAGTCATATTTAGAGAATATTAAAACGCACCGCAATCTGAACAAGTCATACATGTATATAGATCATCGATGAACGGTACAACAATCAGAGATATATCACAGGTTATACTTTTAAATTTTTTTTATTGTTCTCGAACAGAAAGGGTCAGATTATGAAACGTAAAAATAGGCTCTGTATCCCCAAAGCAGCATGTTTGAAAAACGTGAATGCATCATCTGTTTAAGAATCACCCAGCGTTCTGGCTACGTCATGGCGGCCATGAAGCCCCAGGATCGAAAAACAGGATATGCTCAGGGAGGCGCCCTGCAAGAAACACTGTAGATACTTACGGATACGACTTCTCCAAAATGTTACAATTGGTTGTGCAGGCATGTCTCATTGTATCAAATTTGAGTCAATGTTCACAGTTGCCGGTGAGTGGCCGGCAGGAGTTACTACCCATAATTTTGAAGCGCCAACCGGCTACATGACAAAGGACTTCCGTGTCCTTAAAGGTCTCAATTTGGGTACTGGCCGGATACAGCCTTACGCTAGCGGTCAGCCTGTTGTTCTTGCAACATCAGATCTCAAGCATGCAATGGGAGCCTACGCCCCCGACAGAACAGGACACGGATGAGCCACACTACTACAGTGGAATAGTCTTCGGAAGTGCCTTTCCCAGTGGAACCAGTAAATGGGGATCAGTGTTCCGGAAGAAAGCTTTCCCACATGGAAGCTCAAACAAATTATTCTATGTCACCTATATTTGTGTTGGGAGCCTTGACCAGGTTTCTGAGTGCCTAAAAAAGCTCCATGCCACATATCCAAAGGTTTAGTACATCATCGTCTTTTACACTGATTAAAGTGCTTAAAAGATCTATGAAGTGGTTTGTTGTTCTCTCACGATCCCGACTTGGTCTTAAACCTTGGTTATAAGAGAGCTTAGATAATGTTATCTGATTTTATGTCACATGCTATGCTATTCCAGTAGTGTACTATTCAAAAGAAATGACGCACTATACCACGCCACTTTAGATATATCAGCTGTACATATACCAACTGGAGAGCGGAAGGTTCGATCCCCGACCGCGTCATACCAAAAGACGTTAAAATATGGTACTTGATGGCGCTCGGCATTAATGGGTACAACAAGGACTGGTCGGCTCGGAGTCAGTATAATGTGTCTGAGTGGGGTATTCTTGCTTCACTGCGACATAGTATCTCAGTAGGCTAGCTTTATAAAACCAGCTTAAGTCTGGGCTAGTACAAGCAGCCGCACATACACATACACACGTCGTCATATGAGCGAAATATTCTCAAGCACGACGTTAAACCCAGTTTCACCCCACCTCACATATACCAACGGAAAAAAGTAACTGTGCATTATTTGATGTTATGTCATATTTTAATGCAAAATGATAATAACATGATTTGTAGTGTGTTCCTTTATCTCTGTTTAACTGTTGACAGGATAAGATCGAAATCTGTATGATTTGGCACTGGTGTTGATGCAGGTTTGACAACGACGACGCATAGACGACACTAAGCGACTGAAGAAAGCTTGGGGAATGATGTTCAATGTCTGAACCAACGCTTGTTCCAGTTCAGCTAAGTCAATGACTGATTCTGGGTTTGACGTAAACATCGCAACATTTCATCCCAAACATGCTCAACGGGGACAGGTCCGGAGGAAACAGTTGGCCAGGGGAGTACAGGAATGTTCTCCCTTGTGAAGAAATCTGTCACAGCACAAGCGACATGTGGACGGACATTATCTTGCTGAAGTTCATTGAGCACAAAGTGCGATACGTGACATTAAATTCCTTGTAAAGGGCTTTGCTACATGTTTATTTAGTGTTATTTTTATAACTTCCCAAATAACGTTTATTTTAAGCAATTTTATGTTATGCACAGTTACATTTTTCTGTTAGTATACATAATTGTTTTCCCGTCGGTTTTCATTGTCTGGACGGGGTCGAGCGGTCATTCTTGCTGACTTGGTTGACATGTCATCGTATCCAAATTAGATTGATGCACATGCTGTTGATCACGGAGTTGTCTGGTCCAGACTCGATTATTTACAGACCGCTGCCAAACAGCTATAATATTGCTGAGTGCGGCGTTAAACAACAAACCAACCAACTAACTGTTAAAATCTGCTCTGAAATAAATATTAATAAACCTTTTAGTTTCGGCTTACATGAATTATGCCATCTAAATGATTGAGTGAGTTTAAAGTCAACGTCACATCGACAGTTTCTTAACCCATTCAACACCGCAGGCCGCTTAAGCGGCCACAACGTTATGAGTCCCCAGACACCGGAGGCCGATTAATCTGCCGAGCAGTAGTCACGTCAAAATGAGACATAACTTTAGGAACCTACCTGACTTATGATTCATATATTAAATCTATCACATTTCACAACACTTATTAAATTTCAATTTATCATATATTATCAGCAGAATTAAAAATTATAATCTATTTTCGCAGTGTTATTGAAAACAACGATTCTCGGACACATGCTTCGGCAGCGGGTCCACAATAACATTGTCAAAGAGCAAAGTAACGATGTTTCGAGGAATTCATTAAATAAATTGAATAAACTAATGAATAAAATCAACAACAACATTCATAAAAGTTGTCAAACGTACATATAAAATTACTATTTCCATCTTTTTGTGCGATCATGTAATGTAAGTCAAGTCACTGACAAGTGACATCTCGGCTCTCGCCGCCTCAATCTTCACGCTCGGACACGATGTTTAATGCGAAAATATATACATGAAGCATTTGTGTCAAAGGTCATAACCTAGCACGATACGTCCAAAACGTTCCATAATCTACGTATAGGTAGCGATTTCTTGCTTAATATGTTTAGAATAGCATTATTTTACCCAAAACTTTTGTCTAAATCTAAAAGGTTTCGTTTACGAGGACGGTATCCATTGCCGTAATATGATTGGCTGCCTTAGGTCACGTGTCTGATTTTGACCAATTACGACCCTGTGGCGAAAAAGCGTCATTAGAAACATATCTTTATCCAATAAAATCGCTTCTTACAACTGTGAAAATACTCTCGGCAAGGGTACAGTGATGTTGATGTTCAGAGCTTTCAAACGATACCCGACATCACACGATTCGCCTCCCATGTTATTCATACGAAGCTTCGAAAACGGAGGTATTTTCCGTTGTTATGTCTTGTTACCGAGCGGAAAGTCGGGAAATAGGAGACCATACATATTATTTAAGAAATCTTTTTATAATAATTTTCTGATTACGTAATAATGAAAATATATAAGAAAAAGGCACGGGCATGTTATGACATGTCACAAATGGAACAAATCGCCATAGTTTTTGCTTCCTTCGTGGTTTATCTGGACGTTATAAATGTAAGCTTGCATTTTCATTCAAAAATAAATTTATTTAAGTTGTAGTTGTATTATTTGAATAATATTATAAAAATAAACTTCATATTTATCAACAGTAGGATTAGATCTTTTAAATGGTGTATGGGATGTAGTAGCAATAACGTTTTACAAGCTTATAATTTCCTTCATAAACATAGGCTTCATCTATGACCTCAGAGTCTCTGGGAACTCGGTGTCATGGCAGTAAATGCCTCTGGTTGACTGGTGTTGAAAGAGTTAACTATTCTAGTGACGAGAAAATTATCGAGATAAATACCTATCATAAAGGACAGATTCCATATTTGCTTGCTTCATAGTTAACGTCACACTCAGCAATGCTCCAGCTATGTGACGGCGGTGTGTAAATAGTCGAATCTGGACATCAAATACATCTACATGCGCAATTGTGATAATGATAAATATAAGGCCACTTGTATAGCGCAGAACTCCACGCCTCAGGGACATGCACTGAGCTCGTACCACATCATGGGCATTATTACCCCAGGTAACCCAAGCTGCCCGTGAGGCGTTAGAAGGATAATAATCATATGACTTATCCCAACAGGTACCCATTTTCTGCCGGGTGAGCAGAGGCAATTTTGAACAAACTCACTTGCCTAAGGTTAGCTAAAGTTGGACTGACCATCTGATGCTGTTCGCGTCCTACGGTATCCATTGTGCTGGAGACCGGTTCTTACAGGATCTTCATGGGTTTCATATAGGTCATATATGTGAATTACCAGAAAATACATTTGTGATCAACTCGTGTTATTCCGGGACAAGCCGAATAGCTTGCCCATCTGGAAGGATTTCATTTTGGCGCAGAACTACATATCATCAGAACTACATTAAACAAGAACGATAACTCTACTCCTGCTTGATTCCAGTGCTACTTAATATCAGCGAAGCACTCGTACATTGTATTGCTGTTTTTGTTTTCGTATTTATGTATCTATTTTAAAGAATTAAACCTCTTAAACACCAACAACTAAAAGAAGGGAAAGATATTTGTAAAACACACCTTCTAACGTAATAATTACCAGCTGTTCACCTAATGTTTCCAAATGTATATTTCTAAATAGGGTTTAAGAATCACACATGGGATTTGTGTTATTAAATATGCATTTTTTCAACTACATTAAATCCTAAAGCAGATACTATAAAAATGACTTCTAGTGAGTGAGTGGGTTTAGTTTTACGCCGCATTCAGCAATATTCCGGCTATATGGCGGTGGTCTGTAAATAATCGAGTCTGGACCAGACAATCCAGTCATCAACAGCAGGATCATCGATCTGCACAATTGGGAACCGATGACATTTGTCAACCAAGTCAGCGAGCCTGACCACCCGATACCGTTAGTTGCCTCTTACGACAAGCATGGGTTACTAAAGATCAATATTCTAACCCGGACCTTCACGGGTAAAATGACTTCTAAATATTTCTCAAACTGAACCTTGTAACCTTGCTGGCATACCCCAAGTGGAATTTTTTAAATGAATGCGCTGGGAAAAATATGAATAATACCCAAAAAGTCCTAACACCCAAAATAAGCCAAATGATAGATTAAAGTTGATTAGTAATATATTAACTTGATAGTATTGTTTTGAAACTCGTAGCGATTAATAATTACTAGCATATATTTTCTGAAGTGCACGTACAATCTCCAAAACAAGCCTGCAAGATCGTCACAAATACACTCAATTGGACCCCATGAGAGCCGTTATGTCATCCGAATCCTCCAACAGCGCTCTACCAACTATTTACTCACATATAGAATGTTATTCCCCCCAGGATTCGAGGTTCAGTGGTTTAGTGGCCACAGTCCATCAATGCACAAGGTGGACAGACTCTCCACTGATCGCTGCTTGTTTAACCACTCATATGCGAACAATTCATTGGTGGCAGTAACAGCTTCAACACGTTTTCCGTTGGTGATTTGTGTGTCACAATAACGTTTAAGTATATTTCGAATATTTTACTAGCAATTCGTGATTTCACCGTTCCCCAAACCCATTGTTGCAAGATGCAAGTTTCAGAAATTTTAGATGGATATTCTCTATTAGGTCAAGTTTTCAAATCCCCACACTTCTGATCCATAGGTTAAAATAGGCGTTATCATCACAACAAATGCCGATAATAAACAGTCTAAAGGTAAATTCAAATTTCTGGCTTTTTTCAGCAGGCTATACATATCCTTTGTAGCGTTTTCAGTTATAGTGTTTATGCTAGTTACCATTCTGTTGTTTCTGTGTAGTTTTATACCAAGATATACATAACTCTCGACTAAACTAAGATTCTTCTCCCAAAATGTTTATATCAGTTTCGATTTAGCCGCTGGGCCTGAACCGAATACTAATTGTTTTGTTTTTAATACATGTACGTTGAGTTGCCAAGTAGTGCAATATTCATGGAAGGAAGGCACACATTGATGACGCCAGGTGGTCTCCTTTATCTGTAGCATCCATCCTTTGTATATGTCGAGGTCACGATCATTACACTGTCATTCAACTAATTTCAATTAGTAACATGTGCGAAATGGCTTATATAACATTGTTGACAAGTTTGACAGACCTATCTGATATCACTTATTTTGGCAGTAAAAGACAAAGATCAAAATATTGCATTATGTGACCAGTATCTTTTTGGCTGGTATTAAGGATATGTAAAACACGACCACAATTTGACCGACTTTGGGTCAGGTGATACGGGTAGCATCAAAAGCTGAAAAATAACATGGAGGGATTAAGAACGTAAATGACACGAGAAAGAGTTAATTCGCGTCCTTTCTGTTCAAATGTTGGGGAAATGGGTGACGTTTGGAAACTGATAGTATATTATTGGTTTCTTTTGTAGGGATATACACTGTATCTTTCAGTGGTGAATGGATGCCATTGGACATAGTGTCTTGTTTCTGTAACCGGAATGGAAAAAACAATACAAAACAGACTGTGTAATCAATAATTCTGTTTCACCACTGATATGAAGGCATCGATGCCTTCATCAATATGGACGGAAACTCGAATTTAGGAAAATGCTTATTTCAAAACAGATTTGTATTTCAAGTCGAATCTACAAAAAGACTATGTTTACTGTTTAAAACGTTTTCAGAGTAGTTCCAATAATTTCTCATCAAAGTAGGAATAATATTTGTTTATGCTGAGTGCAGTATGTCCTGCATTTGGTAATACCGTTAGAAAATAATATTTATATTATTATTACGGGTTTTGAACCTGTCTGTACACTTGGGATGTATCAAAGCGATATGAAGAAGAAGAATTTATTTCGGTATATAGGACATTGGCCCGTGTACAATAAATGCAAAGTGGTATATGATATATAGACAATATGGTTTAAACATATACATAGGTATATATATACATGTCTCTTCTAACATTGGATAGAATTCCTTTTAGATAGTGCATGTTTAATAAATAATGAAATTTTTATAAGTAAATTCTTATCTTTGCATGTTAACAACTTATGATATTTGCTTAAAACAGATGGACAATTAAATTCTGGTAGGTATTTGCTTCTTAAATTTGCATATGCATCACAGACAAGTACAAAATGTAATTCATCTTCAAAATTATAGCGGTTACATTTTACATATTTTGCTTAACCCACTATCACCTTGACATCTTACGTTACACAGGTAGGCAATTGTTGAATACGTAATAAGCATAAATAACGGCGATATTCCTTTAGATGTACATTAGAAATATAGTATTCAACATCCAGTAATGACTTTAGATGTAATAAGATAAATGTGCTGATTCATTTATTTTGCTAAACATATTTTGCTTTGCAGAATCTACAAGTCTTTGTTTAAACATAAATACAAAATCATTTACACTACCAACTTCTTGGACACCAAGAAGTTGGTATCAAAGCGATATGCATCACTTCATGTTTTCCTTCTCCAGGTGGCTGACACGCTGTAATATAAGTGTCATAAACTCTATCCAACATAAAAACAGAGTACAAAGAAGTACCGTCATTCTATTATAAACTATATCCAACTATGATACTGTTCAATGCTACGGTAAAAAGAATTCACTCACTCAGTCTGTACCATAAACATCTGCAGACAGAGGTAAGTAAACATATTTTGTAATATTCATCATTACCTTTTATTCCAAACAGGTTACCTGGTATTTCATAAAGTTACGAAAACACTGACCCGTATATTGTCATGATGTCGGTAACTATGCATCTGATCTCAAATTGAATCTTTTGAATAACGAAATACTGTCCAAACCGACGGTAAAAGAATTTACTCACTCAGTCCGTACCATAAAGATCTGCAGAATGACGTAAGTAAACATGTTTTGTAATATTCATCATTAACTTTCATTTCAAACAGGTTACCTGGGAGTTCACAACGTAACGGAAACAATGACATGTCGTCCATATCCATCTGATCTCAAATTGAATCTTTTAATAACGACTCGGTTCAACTGTACAGATATTTTAAAGGACAATCCTTTATGTAACGGTCAATTCACTGATTGATAAATGTGACAACATAATTGCGTCTGAGGGATGACAAATGAAGATAACCTCAGTTGGAAAGTCAGCGTGTAACAGATAAGCGCTCTGAGGTCCATCAGCACAAACTGTTGCAGTATAAAATAAAGCTTTACCATCAGGCAACTATTCAAGTGCACGGTATAACAGCCAGTAAGTATAATCTTTATTTGAATCTGCGTCAGTTGGTAATGGGTTTCATATCCTTGGTTTGACAGAAATTGGAGTATCATTGCGAGCGCGCTCAGACTATGAAGTGTTCATTTGATTTACAATGTGCTAAATATATGCAAATAGTCGTCTTAATTTCGTTGAAAATATATCGCAAAAATAATGATCGGCTGTTGTGAGTTTCCGCGTAATCTACCAAGTACTCTGGATTCACTCTGGATTCATGCATGTCTATGCTGTTGCTGACTGCTACGCCCCGTACGAATTATTAATTAACGAAATACCTGCATGTGTCCAACATGAAGTGAAAACAGGCCATTGCAGGGAAAAGGAATATCACCTACAGTGTTGACTCAGTATACAAACTGTGTCCTAATATCCATTTTGTGTAGGATAAACATCGCGATAACGATATTAAACATCGTTATTTTGGCTACACGGATGGCCAAGTCGTCTCAGGCGTAATGAGTTGTTCCCCTTGGGACTACAGAAACCTGCGATCGTGCGGTCGAATCCCTGTTCGACCCGATTACGTTTCTTGGTTTGTCAGCTTCATATTCATGTTCGTAGGTTTCACGAAAGTGGTAAACGTCTCAACGTTTAAAACAAGACCTTCATTGTTGGGCTTCTCTCCACATAAAGGTGACACCCGGTGTTATAACTGAAATACCGATTGAAGCTGCGTTAAAAGTAAATCACTCACTCACTCATCATCGCAATACATATAATCAAAGCATCATTGCAATAACCACAAATACGATCATTGAGTAATATACTAAATTAGTTCGAATCGTACAAATGAGCCTGCCTTTAAAACAATTTCGTCAACTTCTATGGTTCATTGTTTTAATTACGTAGCTACAATACCGGTAGAGATCGATTGTCTCTTATGCTAAACATGTTTTTCTAACACGCTTAACTTGCATTTCAGCTACATTCTACAGCGATGTATGTCACAATCTGTATCGCTCTTGTAGCCCTGGTGGGATCAACCTGTGCTCAAAATGGATTCGTAAGTAATTAAATGAAGGATTAAGAGTATAGTTTTTTTCGCAGTTCCTAAGATGACGTAAGTTTGGGTGACGTGAAGTAAAATTTATACATTGCTGCAATATGAGTACGAAGCGAAAATCTTTTTAGCACATATAGTACTCAATTCACACAAATACTAGTTTGTAACTGCATGCATCCTGTGCGATCAGTTGTTTGACTGATCCAGTTCAACACCTTGTGACATACTGAATAGCCATTGTATACCGTAATTAGTGTCATTGAGCGATTTTCACACGTGCAACACAGCTAGTAAGCCGCGGGGAGGATTGGTTTGCATGCTGATGTATTGGTTTACATGATGATGTATTGGTTTGTATTATAATGTATACGTTCGTATGGTGTCACCATTTCTCATAAAGAATATAATATATATATAAACAAGTGATTTCTGCAGGTGTATAAGCAATAAATATATCAATTATGAGTCCAGATATTTCTTCTTGTCAAATCTTTATACCTGCACAAGATATTTCGCCGTTCAACGGCTCTTCAGGTGTACAATGAAAGCTGAATCACTGTACACCTGAAGAGCCGTTGAACGGCGAAAGATCTTGTGCAGATATAAATGAGATTTGACAAGAAGAAATATCTGGACTCATATATATATACATATGTGTGTGTGTGTGTGTGTGTCTAGGTGTGTATTTAAATTGTCCATTCGTTTAGACATTATCAAATTACTTGAATGCTCAAATGAAATATACTACACTTCTTCAGATAAATATATATGTCTGTTCACACACATACGTATGCACACACGCATACATACATTTATAACTCGGTATTTCACTTTAGCATCTATACCAACTATATGTATTGTCACACCGGTCCTGTGCTTCCAGTGCTTGAATCAAGGGCAGACTTGCAGTTTGGCAGGAACTAGAAGTTGTTGTGCGGGACTCTCCTGTCAGAGTTCTGTTGGAAACACACGAAGATGTCAGCGAAACATCAATGGAGGAAATGTGGTAAAAGTGTAACGCTTTACTTAAAACGTATCTGCCAAATTTTATATTATTCCGATGTACATGAAAACAAACTAGAATTTACATAAATTCACACATGAGGGTCATGTGGTTAACAGGATGTTAGTCATCACAACACATTGAGGTCTAACATTTATAACATAATTGCAGAAAAGGGAAAACGATATGTCATTTGGTACCTCTTTTATAATGGTATTCCCTCAGATGATATCATATGAAATATATTCAGTATGGTATTGGATGACTTCCCGTCATAATCAACAGTCAAAGATTTGGATTGCTTGAGTTACACTTAGACGGGGGCTGTTTTTTAAGGACACCCCCGTTTTAATTTTATCAAAAACATTGTGTCCAGATATTCAAGCTAGCACTGTTTCCAATATGTTGTGTGCTTACACTTGTGTGACCATTCAGTATTTAGTTTGAAACCTTGGCATCATGTGTGAATAAGTGAATAAATAAGTTATGTCCTTATGATTACGTCATATGAAAGGTGGTGGGTTGTGTCTCCAAAACAAGCTCTTTCAGTTAACTTGAAGGGGGGAGTCACTTTAACAAGCGATTGTTGTTTCAAATTGCTTTTTTGCACTTTAATATCGAAATTTGATTCTAGCAAACTCCTACCCGTCTTAAACACACAAAATGTTTCTTGCATACTTTGTTTCCTGAAGTTTGTGATGCATATATCGTAGATTTTGCGTTTTGTTTTGTTTTGGTTTTTATTTTTGTTTTGTTTTTTGTTTGTTTGTTTGTTTGTTTGTTTGTTTGTTTGTTTGTTTGTTTTGTTGGGGTTTGTTTTTTTGGTTTTTTTGGGGGGTACCAAATAAAATGTCAAGCAAAATGGGGATTGTGAGGCTGGAACATAGCAAAACCAATTTGCTTGAGGTTGACAGATAATTTGTAGAAAAATATAACATAAAAACAGCTGCATTGGTATAGTTTTCTTGGTGAGGCTCGCTACTTTTTGATGGCCCCTCGATGGTATAACTTGTAGACACGTACATCGACACACACATACATACATATTGTTTCATTTATTTCATTATAATGGTGCAAATATAAAGATACACAATCAGAAGACCAAAAACGAAGAAAAAAGTTTTATTTCCTCAGACGAAGCATTAGCAGTTAGCATCATATTGATTGAGTTGAGTGGAGTTAATATCTTAAGTCACATCGGCTGTATTTTAGCCATATCGTGACTATATCAAGTTAGATATTAATGATAATTATAGGTAAAGTATAAAAACCTGTCAACGATGGACAGGTAAACAACTAGACTATCACAGATATGAACTTTAAAACTAGTAAAGTTAAAACATTGTAACCATACATGACAAGACAATATAAAAACAGGCTATAGATCGCCAACAACTGAAGGTAGATCACCAAACTATTGACCATGGGGACTTACAGTACCTTTGCTGCCTGCATGGACCCTAGCTGGATTTACACCATCCCTTCAGCTCCTGGCGATTGCAGGAAAATTTAGCCATAATTTAAAATACCTAATATTCTACGCTTAAAAATATGTGGTATGTTTACATTTCCTTCGATGGTTTTGGGACTTACGTACCCTCTCAGGAGGACAATAATTTTACAGTACTTTAACCCCCTTTGAGTATACACCCACTAACAATCTGAGTTACTAATTTAAACTTCCAATCATAAAATACTTATCTATTTACAAATCATTCAACAAATCTATTTCTTTTAAAGATGCATCATATTGATGCTATGTGTTCTTTGTAACAGCATATGAAAACATAAGTTGTATTCTCTTGACATTTCCCTGTTTATTTCAGTGTCGAAGATATGGCCAAGATTGCTGGAGGACTGGAACCCAGGAGATGAGATGCTGTAACAACATGAGGTGTGACTACAACCAGTATTACCAGCTCGTGTGTCAGTAACGTCACACTTGTACCAAGTGCGTTTAATAAATTAAAAGATATTACTATATCTCGTACGTATGTTTTGATTGAATAATTGTTAGTTTATTTTATACATTCTTGTGTTATTTGATCTTTTATTTTAGACTTTGAATAAAGGCGTATCCGCTTGTACATATTTAGCCACTCTGCGAGAACAATATGCATCAAAATAATTCATCAAGAAATAAGAATAGATATAAAAAATAAATGGAAATATCTTTAAGAACTATTTATTATTAGCATGGTTCTATACATCAGTTCCCGAAAGTGAGGATACTAGTTGCTTGCGAAAAAGCGTATTGTCTTCACCGATGGCGAAATTGCGCACATTTCGTTGCATTCACATGGTCGATCGGTCGATTTAAAACGACAAACTCTAAATCGGTTTGTAAAGCAATTGCACAATAACGACAGTAGTAGTATCTTACAATCTTGCTGTTATTCGGACGTTGTGCAGGTGATGGTGCAGTTTAGCATACATAGTTGTCAATTTTAGCCTCGACATGATCCATGACACAATGAAGTATTGTTGTCCCGTCAAATGAACGTACAGCTATAATCGACCAAGGTTAGCTAAGGCCGCTTACAGTTACATGTTTGTGACACTCCCAGATAAACATGTACCTGACTCCAGAACTGTGAATCTGTGAGCAGTGTTCGACACATGCCCCACTGCGGAACATGAATAGGCTTTAATTAATCCCAAGCGTTATTGCATCAGGGTGGGATATGAGAAACTTGAGGCAGATGAATACTTGTACATGCACTCTGATGTATTAGCATTCTTCTAACTTATATAAATACTAACATTACGTGTTAGAAAACAATGGGAATTAATAATCTTGTTTTATCCTCTGCGTAATGTACACGGTTACATTAAATATTTATCAAAGACAAAAACAAGCTGTATGTGCGTTATGCACGCTTGTAAAGGACGCAATCATGTATTCAACATAAGTACACTAGTCCCAGCGCTGATTAATAAACAAGGGGAGAATTCTATGGATATACAACTTCTTTATTATAAATATGAGCGACGTTTCGGTGTAGCTGCTAGCACCGTTATCAAGCAAACTTCACCGTGACGTCGCCATATTTATAATAAAGAAGTTGCATATCCATAGAACTCTTTCCGTTGTTCATCACATCAACTTCTACATGTCACTAAAAGAAATGATTAATAAATCCGGAAATCAGGGTGATATAATAACGGAACTATTGAAAACGGTATAAGTATCTATACCAAAACGTCGCTATTGTACAATAAAGAAGTCGGTCATCCATAAACACATTGAATACGTTGTTACGGATTCCGAAGATAAGCTACCATACGCTGTTCATCATAGTGCCATGCTTGACTTCATTTTCCTATTTGCTAAATATGTGCCTATTTCTTGGCGATATGGGATGGTCTCGTACAGTTATTAATCAGTGGATGAGTATGTCAAAAAAAAATTTGCGCTTGTGTGATTTAAATTGTAATCGAAATATCAGTAAGTAGTTTATATGTTGGAATAGTTTGGCTCCGAAAAGTGGATTTTGGGAGTACACGTGCAATATTCGGATCTGGACCTCATTACACCCATGTGACATTTGAACTTATTCAACATGATAAGCATGAACAATAACATGCAAATCCAGAAAAGATTTATCCGGTCGATAAAATAAGGATTTGAACAGTGCGGATAATTAACATTATGGCATTTGTATCTACATTAATCTATTATCTATATTCATTGAACAAAAACGTTTGGGATCAAGAAAGATTTAGGGGATATTTTGTGTAATTGTAAGATATTTCCCCAAATAATCATCATCCGTATATTTTGTTTGGTATTATTAAGCAACAGAATCATTATTATCAATATCACATGGCATGTCATGTTTTGTTACAAATATACTCAATATGTTCTTAGTTTTGATAATGGATCATAAATGGTGCGTTGTGTTCAGAGAACCCATCAAATAAAGAGCTTTATCTAGTTGGTAACAGCTAATAAGTTCACAAATAATGCATATTTTAATAACTCCTCATCTCCGTGTCAGGTAGATGTGATGTGTGACTTATCCTGATTGCCTTGTTAAACGTGTGATATATGCATACATCCTAAACACAAAGAACACCTACTGTGCTATGCCCCCTTACAAAGAACATCGCCCGTACGGAGTCCCGAGGTACTTCGAAAGCACTTAAGTGCGTCATAAACAACGAAATGCATATCGGTTATATAAGCTTTAGTCGATGTCAGTCCAACATACTGAGAATCATGGACTTCATGGACGTTTCGACCTCACCTTCATCCCTAATGGACTCGAGCTTGATGGACGCTCTACACGGGATAGAACCTTTGTCAGTCTCCACGCCGACACCGACAACGACAATTCCCCTTCAACCTCCAGAACCAACACCTCAACCTCCGCAACAGCCAGCTGTATTATCTGATGAGCAGCTTCATCGTCCGCCTCTTCATCCCAACCTGCAGCGACTGGTGGAAACAGTGCTGTGTAGGACCTGTTTCAAAGCGGCACCGTCGACAAAGATGGACTCAGTACCTCACGCAGTACACTACACATGCATGTATTGTGGCGACATTGAGATGAAGCGTTTCGCCGATAAACATAACGTTTTGTGTTCTGGAATGGCTGTCTTCCGGGCTTTTGAACTCTGCTGCGAATGTCATATGTAAAGACTGTGGATAATGTTTTTCAATTTTACGTCCTTTTGTCAATGCAACACCGTCAACAAAGATGGACTATGTGTCTCAGTCGGTGGACTACGGTTGTATGTATTGTGGAGATGATGAAATGAAGTGTACACAAATAACCTTTGTGTTCTGGCATGGCTGTCTTGAGGTCATTTGAACTCTGCTGTAAATGTCTCCTGTGAAGAATATGCATATTTAAGGTCGCCTAAACACCCCAAAGGGAAACATGTAACCCCGAAATTAAATTTCATTAACTACAATTATTCCTTTTTATTTGTTTTGTGTAATTTGAATTGGCTCCAAAACCTATGTTTGCTGTCATCCAGACAGGTGCGTGAAAGAAGCAAAATGTCATTTTGTGTGAGGTGTTGATAACCATCATCAACTCCAAAAACAATATCGATACGTTGGATACGGTATGGCTGTAACGTTTCTTTGTGTGACGTTAACCTACAAAATAAAATAAAAATGTTATTTCAGGTGTCGTTAAGTATATTGTGGATGGGTGAGCGTGAGTGGGTGAGCGTGAGTTTGATTGGATGAATGAGTGAGTGAGTGAGTGAATGAGGGAGTTGGTGAGTCATTTTCTGTGACGTCATGGTAACCACCCCCAAACAATATCTATACTTTAGATAAGGTATGGACGTAATGTTGCTTTGTGTGGTGTTAACCTGCAAAACGTCAAAAGATAATACCTATTGTTATTTCAGGAGTTGCTAAGTATAGTGTGGATCAGTGAGAGTGAGTGGGTGATTGGGTGAATGAGCCAATAAGATGATGAGCGCGAGAGCCCGTTTGTTTTTTGTACGAACACAAATGAACAAATTGAAAAACACGTTGGTTATAAAATCAAAGCCATTTTATTTCCAATAACAGCTGTTGGAAAAGACTGGGCTTCGCAACGCCACCTACTGACACATCATCTTGTTCATTATTCCAGGCATACAGCGGAGTGAGCCACAGCATTTCATAGCGTTGATGCCATTAATTTTGCATTCTTCATTTCTCAGGCGACACTGTAAAAGATAAAGTTCCTTTAATACAAGCATACTTTTAAATTTATATAAAAACAATAATGAAACATACAGGAACCATTTGCCCATTTAAGTACTCCTGAGGAGATATGATAAACGTACGAGGTATAATAAGGACCTGTTGATCCAACCGATGGTTTATTGTCACAGTACTCTGGTTGCACGCTTACCCCGACACCACCTCCGATGTTTCTCCTGCAGATTCGGGTGTCTCCTATTCCAGCCTCACATATCAGGCCATTACAGCAGGTTCTACCATTCATCACATTGCAGGTTTGTCCGTCAGTCTGGCACTGTGAAAGGATATACAAAAAAAGCAAATGATTATAAGGAGAATTGTAGTCCTCACTGATGATAAAAATTGTGTCGGGTCTACACCTTAATTTTTTTCTGTATTGACAAAAGCAAATCGGTTATATAAACTTTGGTCAATGTCGGTCCAACATCCTGAGAATTATGGACTTCATGGACATGGGCATACACATGTATATGAACAGCTAGAACAAAGAAATAAATCCTTTACTTTTTGCTCAGTGAATTGCCTTGAATTTACGAATCGATGCTGAAAAAGGATTACTTACAAAGCCGTGTGAATCGTGAGCCAGAACTGACACGACGAGAATAACAGCAACCCACGCGTTGAACATCATTGTGGTGATGGAGTAAAACTGAAAGTAAACACACCACTTGAATGATATTATGGATCGATATCATAGATTTAAGTTCGTGCAACAATATTCGCACTCTCTGGACAGAGTATCTCAATTCTGAATGATTGCCCACATGGGTACAATGTGTGAAGCCCATTTCTGGTGTCCCCCGCCGTGATGTTGCTGGAGTATTGCTACAAGCAGCGTAAAACTAAACTCACTCACTCACTTGATGTTCGCGTGGTTACGCCATTTACAATTATTTTAAGACATCGAAACAACTATGTTATATTATTGGTTGCACTTTTTCAGTGAAGTACAGATTCTAGTACATTTTGGAGTCTCATCCAGGATTTAAACGCACGCGATCAGAGTGGGGCAGTTTTTCGTAAGCACATACATTCGTCGATCTCAACAACTTAGCCACCGCGGCTTTCATACAAGTTTCAGTCAGACTACTGGTAGTCAAGTTCAAGTTCACTTAGAGTGTTTGGGTTGGAATCACGGATGGGACTAAACCCCCCAAAGCAGTTACTGTAGAATCTGTATTTTACTTAGAAA